AAATGGAAATCGATGATAATGAAAAGCTTATTTTTTAAAAAGCTTTTTGATTAGATTCTCATGTTTAAAAAAAAATTATTATTTATAAAATATCATGTCAAACAGATGGGGCAGTTTATTATTCTAATATTGGAAAGATAAAAGCTGGTGGGATTTTAATAAATATTTGTTTTTTGTTGTTTTTTTTTTAATGGGTTTTTTGTGTTGCTTTTTTTTTGTTTTGTTTTTTTAACCTCTTTTATTCAGGAAACTTTGTTACAAACGTATCACATTTTAAAAAAAAAACGCTTTGGAAATCATAATTTATGAAATGTGCACTCTATGTATATGTCCTTTAAATTCTTTATTTACAAATAAATATCTCTCAGTTTTTTAAGTTCCATTTTATAGGTTTCAGCATTCATGGAACCGAATACAGTTGTAATGATGCTAATTAAAATAATTTTTAAAGCTTATCTCATCATACAATTTATAATTAAGATCGAACTCTACTTTAAAACTCATTCTTTTATAAGTATATATATTTTGAAAATAGATTGCATTTGTTTGATACTCGGCAAGAACTATTATTAAAATTGTAGTCTTTGATCTTGATGTAGAGTTATTTTAATTTTGTGAATTTGCAAATAAGTAAATGAATAAAAACACCGATAAGTGCGAACAATGAGGAGTAAACCCTCGGCAAATAATTAGGAGCGGCCATTACGATATTTATAATCGAATACTGAAACCCTTTTAACAAGATTAGACTTAAATATACGGACCATCAAATGTATCGAGCGCAGCGATATTTCCTAGATTCCATTGACTGTAATCAGATTGTACTCAGCCACCAGATTGTATTCTTTTGAAAAGTGTTTAAAATGACAATTTAGTCGTTTCCACCTTTATATATATATATATATATATGTAGCCGTGTGGTGACGTAGCTTACAGTTTACATAAAATCAAAATAAAACAATCAGGTCTGAGAACTATAGTTTTTTTTAATGTAAGGTACAATCCGTTGACAGAGCCGACAGGAAAATCTCTCACACCTGCCATCGACCCGACGCATCCGTTCCACACCACAATCTCCCAAAATGTACACACCTCAAGTCCCAGTTCGCCCCCCCTCCCACACACACACACACACAGTCACAGGGAACCCGCGTCCGAGCTGACCATGGGTCAACCCCGTAGCAGGGATGGTTATTCCCGCGTCTAAATAACCTACATAAAATTTAAGGCCAGTACACGGCTGAGTGTTACGTTGAATGACCATGGATAATGGATGTGTACGTGCTTGGGGTTACCCATAGCAGTCACACTATGACTATGCGAGTGGATTCTCTTATATAGTGGCACATTGCCACATCCACCCCAACTGTTTAAATCCCAGCGTCCCCGCTGGGCCTACTACTTTGTAATAAAAATTTAAAGAACGATCGAATATTTAAAAACAAATTAAAACACTTAGCATAAACAATAACTAGGACTAGTGTCTTTTTGTGCCACTGCCTTAATTCCGTTTCTCTCGATTTGCGATGCCAAGTGATCTGCGTGGTATAACTGGTGGAGGTACTACTGGTGGAGGTACTACTGGTGGAGGTACCACTGGTGGAGGTACTACTTGCGCTGTGGTCACGTGTTTACCTCGTGAGTGTGATGAATGTTGGGGAGCAGCAATGACAGGTACACATGTGTCATGTTGTTGTGGTGAAACCTGTCTTGATGGGATAGCATCTAAACTGGACACGCCTGATTTTGAATCTGAACTTAATGTCCTTGTTTGTGAGGATGAGCTAATATCGTTCAGGTGCCCTGTACTCATTGTACTGGAAGTTGGTGGTGGCGAAACCATGGTAGGGATTGAATCCTCTGTGGTTTGATGGGCTTCTTCAATTGGATCACTTTCATTTTTTAATAAAATTTCAGATTTCTCAAAAACATTCAGAAGTTCTCCCTTAGAATTAAAAACGTGTGTCTTTGTTTTTAGTGTTACTGTGTGGGTCATGATAACGGTTCTTCTCTCAACATCTGGGCAAACTGCCGGTTGTTTTGGTGCAACACTAACAGAACCATCCTGTAAAACAGTGTCAGAAAAATTAACTGTTGATCTCTTCCTAATATTTCGACGGTCAATATGACCAGCTGTATTAGTCACACTTTCGGGTTGAAGTTTAAGAATCGTATTTGCGTCTGAGTTTGTGGATCGCACATTCTCAGATTTAGTTCCAACAACAGTAGGGCTAAACTGACCAGGCTCTCTTACATATGTTGACACATGCTGACCAGCAGTAGGCTGGTCGTGAGCAGCATCATGGACAAATGGCATCTTGGATTTCCTTTTTGACCGTCGCCTCTTGGGGTGTTGTGGTTGTCCATTTCTTTGAGAAATGTAATTTTTCTTGGCACAGCATACCTGCTCTGTGTGACCTCTACGACTACACCAACGACATAACACATCCGTGCGTGTAGGTTGTCGCTTGCGCTTATGTCGTCGCTGATGTGTAGGTGCTGGTGTAGACTCGGTAAAACGGACGTCGCAGTCCCTTTCAGGCGATGGAGGGTTATACCTTTCTGCCCTGGCTGCCACTTGATGGTCAATACGAGCCATAAGTTGTGTTGTCAGCTGGGTCAGGTAAGGTGACGGTGATGCTGGGAGCTGGGCGGTGGCGACATCAGAAATGTACTCACGCATCCACCGTTGTGCTTCCCTAAGGACGTCATCAAATGAGTGGCTAGTGTGTAGCCTTACGTAGGCCTTGACATCTCTGCGTAGGGTGGGTGGTTGGAGACCTTGGATGAATACGTCACGCAGTATGTCTTCTGGGAGAATGCCAGGTCGTGCAGAATTAGCTAACATGAAGATGTTGCGCAATTCTTTCGCATATTCCTCGACAGTTTCCCCAAGGTATTGTTGTCTACGGTAGAATGCGGCCACTAGAGTTGTGACGTCACGATGATCACCCCAGTTCTGCAAAATCAAGTGCAGTAGTTTATCTGGAGTGTCTATCGTAGCAACAGCTTGGTCCAAAATATCCTGCCGACAACGCCAAAAACTGTAGCCGTGTGGTGACGTAGCTTACAGTTTACATAAAATCAAAATAAAACAATCAGGTCTGAGAACTATAGTTTTTTTTAATGTAAGGTACAATCCGTTGACAGAGCCGACAGGAAAATCTCTCACACCTGCCATCGACCCGACGCATCCGTTCCACACCACAATCTCCCAAAATGTACACACCTCAAGTCCCAGTTCGCCCCCCCTCCCACACACACACACACACAGTCACAGGGAACCCGCGTCCGAGCTGACCATGGGTCAACCCCGTAGCAGGGATGGTTATTCCCGCGTCTAAATAACCTACATAAAATTTAAGGCCAGTACACGGCTGAGTGTTACGTTGAATGACCATGGATAATGGATGTGTACGTGCTTGGGGTTACCCATAGCAGTGACACTATGAGAGTGGATTCTCTTATATAGTGGCACATT